CAAGTTGAACCCTGCGGGCCACGCACCATGCGAATTGCAGACGACAATGCCCGCCGATGCACACACGGTCGAGCTGCGGAACGCGCGGCCAGCAGGCAACGTAGCGAGGCCCGGAGCATCCTTCACACTGCGAACAGGAAGTGATCAAGCAACGTAAAGCGGAGAGAAAGTGAATGCCCTATAACACACACATACACACACACACACACACACACACGCAGAGAGAGAGATAGAGAGAAGACTGGGAGGGGGAAACCAGTGGGGGGACAGGGTTGCTACACCGTCAAGGAAACTAGTACAAGCAACAACGACGTATTTTTGTCACATGCACTCGAAATGGATTTAGGAATCTTTTCAAACCGTCACACGTGCAGGGGCATTTTCTCGAATGAATGCGGCGGCCTCTTCACTATTAATAAAATCTGAGACCACTTCCACCTCGTCCAACTCTGGGCATGGAAAGAGAAGAATCGCAGCCACGGCACCCAGCTGCGTCAGCTGTTCCCCAGTAAGGTGATTGCTGGAGAAAACGCTAACTTTTCCTCCACCATTCTTGACAAACTGGACGAGTGACAAATAAAAACGCCTTTCAACGGGACTACTCGAGCGAAAAACCTCGTCGCTCACCATGAGCCTTCCTATTGCCCCCACCATTGCAGCCTGGTAAACCATTTGTGGGGTGTACACGCAACGATCCGGATCACTGCTCATTGTGTTATGAAAACTTTGCCAAACCTTCATGTCCTCAGTAGAGCGTGTGGAGCTCATTTGAGTTGCGATGGCGGGGTCGGCGAAGGCTTTGCGAAGTGCATCATTTGTGCAGTCTGTCACTTTCACAAGCACCACCTTGGACAAATTCTTGTAAACGGTTCGCAGCGCTCCCGCCTCAGCGTGAACGGTAGCGGACTCCATGTACTTGAAAAACTCCTCCCGAATGTGGGCAGGCGAACAGATAAGAAGCAGCTTTGTCTTTTCAAAGTCGACATGCGTGCAAATAGCGTCCAGCACGTGTTTAAAAAAACGCTGAATGCTTTTATCCCGCGCCGTGCCATCATTCTTGTGCTTCTTCGCGATCGTCACCTCCACCTTCGCCTTGGGGTGCATAAACGAGGGGGTCACCAGGAGTAGATTGGCTGTACCGTTATCCATTACCACGGCCGCCGTATCAGCCCTCGCCTCGTTGTCGCACGCCTCCCTCAGTCGGGCCTCAATAATGTCATCCCACTCCTTCTTGACGATGGTGATGTCCTGTGGCGGGAAGGTAATAATCGACAGCGTGTGGTGTGCGCCGAGTTTCACGTGCTCGTTTTCTGAGACGTTGATGCCTTGCACCCGAAGCTCCTCAGGGGAAAAATCCACCTGGCGCACCTCAAGCTCCAGAGTAACGACACGCACCTCTGCCGCCTTTGTGCCGATGGACGTTTCCTTCGTCACTTTACGCCGCGTCTTCGTGCGCACGTGATCGCCGAGAAGCAGGAAGTTGTACAGGTGCCACAAGTCCTCAGTGGTGCTGACCGTCACCTTCACCTCCACCTCCCCATCGGGTCGCACTGCCTTTCGCAGGAGACGCATGCTACGGAGAGCTGCCACTTGCCAACAACTAGGAAGGAAGGCAAGCGTGAGAGGGAGAGAGAGCGAGAGCGAGGGAGAGAGCGAGAGCGAGGGAGAGAGCGAGAGCGAGGGAGAG